TACCATTTTATCATTTTTACCTTCCACTCCAAAAGTTCATGTGGACTGTTTGTACCTGACCTGTGGTGGAGCCTTCTGAGCTTGTATTGATCCGATCAGTCACAACTGGACACAATGTACCTTGTCTCCAACATGGTCGTGCCATTTTTGTTCTCTTCAGGAATGAAGGACAACAATCAACCAACCAGTGATACTAGTAGTATAGTGGTAGTGGTGGTGGTGGTGGTGGTGGTGGTGGTGGTGGCAGTAATAGGCAACATTTATATAGTGACTGTTATGTCCCAAGAACTATGTTAAGCTCTTTATAGATACTGTCTCCTTTGATTCTTACAACAACCTAGTGAGGTAGGCCCTATTACTATTCACATTTTATAATTTAAGTAACTGAGGCAAGTAGAGGATAAGTAATTTGTTCAAGGTCACACAGCTAGTAAGTGTCTGAGGCCAGATTTCACTCAGGTCTTCTTGACTACAGGCGTTTTTTCTCCCTCATAGAATGTAAATTCTTTGAAGGCAATGTGGAAGGTGAATTGTGAAGAGAATGTAATTGACTCCATGTTGTCTTGTATTTTCTCCTTTCCTTTTTTTGTGTGTGATGCCTCTTTGACAATACTAAGTATCTCCTACAATCCCTCCCTTTGCCCTAATCTTTTTAAGACTACAAAAGAAAACTCAGAAGACATCAGTAGTTCAAAGAATCCCCCCACTTCTCTTTAGCCTATCTACAATTGCGAATAGTAGAACCTGAACAAATGCATATATACTGAGGGATAAGTCAAGAACTGTTTCTTTGGCCTCTTGTAGATGGCTCTGTTAACAATGACACATTTCCTCCATAATAAATGATAAGTAATCCTTTTTATTCTATTAAATGCTAAGTACTTTTTCTTGCCCCCCTGCTGTACCTGCTTTTACCAAAATTGTTTCGTATAAAGCCACTATTCTCTCTGGCTCATACAGCTCAGAAGGAAAGGGTGTGTGTGTGTGTGTGTGTGTGTGTGTGTGTGTGTGTGTGTGT